TTTTTTTTTTGGTAATGGGATTGAACCCAGGGTTTTTGCACTGAGCCATACTCCTAGATCTTAAAAAAAAAATAATAATAATAATTTTTTTTTGAAATACATTCTGGCTAAGTTGCCCAGGCTGAACTCAAACTTATGATCTTTTTGCCTCTGCACCATCAAGTCTCGCTGACTTAAAAGTCTGTGAAAACTAATAGGGGAACCAGTGCTGAAGCTGTGAAACACAAACCTGGAAATAACAGGAGCCTATGGGAGCTACAGTGAGGGCCAGCTCCACTTCTGTACCCTGAAAAGCATTTCTTTTCTTTTGGCAGTACAGGGATTGAACTCAGGACCTTAAACACTCGCCAGGCAAGCACTTCTACTGAGCTATCTCCCCAGCCCTTGAAAAGCATTTCCTGTTCTTCTGAGAAACACGGAATCAAGGCAAAGTGGAGTAGCAAACCCTGGGTCTGTCTCAGATCTGCTGGGACAAATACGACATGCTCCTCCCACGAACCTCCAACGCCCCTCCAAGCCTACCACTGCTCCGGGGTCCTGTTCCTTGCTGAGCTGTGTACAACAGCTGCCTTTCGGGTGAGTGTAGGTGTGGGGCTGTCTTTCCTGGACCCTGGGCCGCTCCTTGAGTGATAACTGGCACCCTTGTGCCACAGGGACACTGAGGACGGCCTCAGGTTAGCTTGGGCTTCCTGCAAGAGCCACACATGGTGCCAGGCTGACCTCATGCTCTCCACTCCTAGATGCCAACTTTCAGCAAACTTGAATTTGGGACAAATTTAGAAGGTGCCCACAGAGCCAGTCTCAGGGCTCAGCACCTGCCGTTCCTCCCTGACTGGGTCGTTCATTGCCGATCAGTTCCGCACCTCTAAGGAGAGCGGATTCACTTACAGTGCTGCTACCCTCCCTTCCCACACTCCAGCAGGCTGACTCAAAGACTCCTCCACGGGGAGGGACTGCTGGCACGGCTGGCACAAGAAGCCTGCAGAGACCCTCTGGAGGGCCGGGCTGCTGGGGCAGCCAACCCACCTGCCACAGCTTGCCCTACTCCTCTCTCCCAGTGCCCGCTGAGAAGGACACTTACCCTCCTGGGAGAGCCAGCGTGGCTCATGCAGGAGGCACAGTGCAACTGCAGCCTAGTCAGCACCTGGCAACAGGCTGTGGGTCTGGCCCCAGACCTGGGCTAGTGGCTTTATTTTACTTTTT